TACCGTTTCCTGTGGCACAGAGCTGAAGAATCAAAGCATACCTGGCCCAATACTTTAGAGATGATATATGTTCAATAAATATCTCTTCAGTGATGTCCAGATGACACAGGCAAAGCCTGTTCATTTTACATTAAAAATTCTGAATAGTTTCAATACTGGCAGGAAAACAGCTGGCTTGCTGAGCTAATAATTAAAGTATTTAAAGTCAAAGTATTCTATAAAGAAAATAATCTGCACCAAGCAAGCTACTATGGGGTTCACTAAGCTATGTAGTACTTTTTATTTTTTTTTCCATCAAGCCTCTTACCCTTGAAAAATTTTTACTGAACATCCCAAGAAACAGTGGATTTTTTTTTTTTAAGGTAGTTTTAACAAGTGAGTTTTGTCAGAAGTAAAAATTACTAATCTCGCCAAGGAAAAAAATTCTAAGTAAATAACCTTTCTAAAATCTGCCCACCTCTTTTATCAAATCAAATATACCCCCTCAAGTTTTTATTTTAAACAATAATGTTCCAGTTGTCTTAGATCATCATTAAATGTCTGAAAATCATTTAGAATACCTTATCTTAATCGTTTAGAAATAAAATCATCATCTAGACTCTATACATTAAAACTAATTTACAAATAATAAATACTGAAACTCATTCGATACAGTAGCCCTCAACCTTTATGTCTCACCTCCAGTTTATCACAAAGGCAACAGGGTTTATTTGATCACACTTCTTGCTGAGAGCAGGTTCCTCAGAGAAGACTGATGATATAAAGCACTCTTCTTTCCACTCCCACTTGCGCACTACTTAGTATATACTAGTAATACTCGCTAATTTGTAAGACTATATAAAACAGAGGACAAGGGGGCAGCAGAGGATGAAACGGTTGGATGGCATCACCAACTCAATGGACATGAGTTTGGGCAAACTGCAGGAGATAGTGAAGGACAGAGAAGCCTGGTATGCTGCAGTCCACGGGATCACAGAGAGCTGGACATGACTTAGAAACTGAACAACAGCAACAACAATATAAAATCTTTGGCCGAGAAACTTCTCTGGGGGTCCAGTGGCTAAGACTCTCCATTTCCAATGCTGGGGGCCCAGGTTTGATCCCTGGTCAGGGAACTACATCCAGCATGCCCAAACTAGAGATTCCAAGTACCACAACCAGCGCAACCAAATAGATAAATGAGTGTTTTTAAAAATTCTTTGCCTGAAACTTAAATGCTGTTAATAGCAAAATCACTATCCTAGTATATGGTGGGAAAAGGTCAAAATGCCATGTCCTAAATTTCGACCAACCCAAACATTTATGTCATCAGTAAGGAAGCCCATTACTGCTCCGATGCCAATATCTTACTTTGATAATGTTAAATCAAGAAAAATTAAACTTGCAGAAAATGTGTATTTAAAATTTTTTGCAAGACTCATTCTGGTAATTTAAATGAAGTAAAAAACACAGAAAAGACAATGCAAAGAGAGGAAGGAAAAAAAAATACAGTTGTTAGATCAATTAAGTAGTAGTATGTTGGAGTCCTTTAACCAAAGGCTGTGAAATATGACAAAATTACAAAATGCCAGGTTATTATACACTGTCTGTATGGACAACCTATACCCCAAAAGAACTTGTTTTAAATAAAATTAAAATCAATAAAGCCCTGCTTTTATTATCAAAGTACACGAGCTGAAATTCCTTAATGGGGAAAAAGAGCAGGGAATCCTTCATTAATTCAGTGGGAAATGCCTCCTGGTAGTCAAGGAATCATTTTCGGGTTCCCGCCTCTCAACTCAATGGTGCTAAGATTTCAAGGAAGTAACCTGTGAATAGCACCACAGCCCAGTGAGTAATTTCAAAGTTCAGGTGTTACAGTATGATGAATTCATTATGCCTTTTAATTTTTTTAAACATCTTAAAGATTTTTGTAAAGCAACTAAAGTTACTAATTCAAGCAGTTTTAAGATACAATCTATAAGGCTATAAAGTGAGTGTGTGTGTGTGTTTGAATAATAACCTATGAAATCAAAAATCTTATGAAGAAACTGAAGATGCTGATAACAAAGAAGATATAGGAAGACATTAATTCAAAAGAGGCCAACTAATTTCTAAAAATTCATCTTTTTTATAAAGAACCCCTGATTTTGGCATTTAGCTGTTTTTAATGGCAAATGTTAATTTTTTATGGTACAATTACTGGTGGAGTGTATTCAGTGCTATGGTGAAATGATTACATGAGATGTATTTTGGTAGTCTTACTACTTGCTGTTATATCCACTTACACAGAAAAATCACACCATAGAAAAATAAGTCACTTTCTCCTTGTCCCACGTAAAGAATAATGTCCCGGGTAAGGCAGCCAGAGAGATTGCTGTGCTGTGCCTCACCTCTGAGCAGAAATAACTGAAGACATGATTTCAGGGTTTTCTGTGCAGGGGAAGAGAGTGAAGCAATTAGTTGAAATGCTAAGGGCAAAAAGAGTGGATGCTCTCATTTCATTGCCAACTCAAAAGCTAGGAGCCAAACCCTTGCTATCATGTATGTCCTACTATATGGGGGAAGAATGGGATATGTATCTGTGTGTATATATTATGAGTTGTATACAGACATGTTGCTATTGTTGGGGGGAAAGAGATCAAGGTGATAACAGTGGTGAGGAAAAGTTAGAACTGAGAAACTTAGAAATTAATATACCAGAAACACAAGATTACTAATGACACAGTAGGAAAAGCCCAGTCTGATGTAACAGAAATAACCTTATTCAAGTTTGGGGAAAAAACCACATCCCTCAAAAAATCTTAGAAACAACCAGTGGCTGGGGATAATTTATGTTGTTCACGAAAGAAGAAATATTGCTTTTCCCTCCCCATTACACTACTAATGTAATATGCATGTGGAAGTTAGACAGATAAAATAAACTGGTGACACAGTAAACTTTTATACTCACAAGGCTACCACAGTAGATAGATGATGGTAATGCAAGATGGCTTTGGAAAAAATGAGAGGGAATGAATGAAAAGTCCTTTGTTTAATGACTGCCCCCTCCTTATTGCTCATGTTTGTCCAGTTTGTTACTTTTAACATGTATTATTTATTTTAAAGACTTCATATATTTTATCTTCAATACTCACAATAATCTTACAAGGCAGGTATTATTAACCTTCTCTTACAGACAAGAAAATTCAGATGCAGAGATTTTGAGCTATGTCCCATCAAAGTCGTAGAGCCAAGATTTGACCCCACACTGCCTGCCGGGTTCTTTTTTGTTTTTTCTTTTCTTTTTTTGTCTCCAAGATTCTTAATGGGCTGGGGACATAAGCTATTACCTGGTAGAGTCAAAACATATTGTGGCAAAGGATACTTAGTTATGAACTGAACTGTGTTCTTGCCAAATTCATCTGTTGAAGCCTTCACCCCTAGTACTTCAGAATGTGACTGTATTTGGAGACAAGTGAGGCCATCAGGCTGGGCCCTCATCCAACATGACTGGTGTCCTTATGAGAAGAAGAACCTGGATGCACAGACCCCGAGATGCTGCACACAAGGGCAGCATCTGAAAACCAGGAGAGAATCCTCAGAAGGCAACCATCCTAGTTCTGAAGGTCAGAAGTCCAAAACCATCCTGGTTTTGGACTTCTGACCTTCAGAACTGCGTGGAAATAAATTTCTGATGTTTAAGCCACCCACTCTGTGGCATTTTGTTACAGCCGTCCTAGCAAGCAGACTACTGTAGGAAAGGAGAAGAAATCACCGAACAGTCACTTGCAAACAAAAGTGACAGCAGCTTAAACATTGTTCGGAACGGGACTGAGAGTTGTTACAGATATTGGCCTTGTTAATGAAGCAGAAACAAGTTCCCTCCCTGGAGGTGCTGGAGGACGGTGGCTTTGTCTGCCAGGCACACGCCTTCTAGTATGTTCCCCCCAATACTACACTTTCTACCTCTTTTCTCTCCCTCACAGACACAGGGCTGAAATGTCTCCACAATGCCAACCCACACACCCCAAGCAAGCAAGATACATGATAAATTGAAGGCGTTTCAAGGCATGGCCCGGTGTCGTTTCTTCAGATCTTGCTAGAATAACATGACATTTATAAAAATACAACCCACTGGATATTTGGCACTGCTTGGGAATGAAGAATATGTCCACTTAAGAGCCAATCCCCCAAGGCTGTCAAAAAAATCTCAAGCCAGGATTTCTTCTATAAACATTACCTATCTTTTAAGATTCTACAGTCCAGGAAGTGAAGAAAACGCCTCTGCTTATTCCCAAGTCTCCTCTGGCCTCAACATAAAAAACATAAACCAGACAGAAGGACAGTTAAATGCCTGGTCAAGACCCAGGGATGGGACAGCTCTGTGCATCTGGCAAGGAGCCTCTGCACTCCCAGCCATGGCCCTGGGTCACCCTCGCCCGGAACACACACCTATGCAGAGCTCACCCTCCACCGGGGGCCAGCCTCCTCCAATCCCTGGGCACGCTGAAAGGGGGTATTTACGGATTATTTTTTCAGATACCAGCCAAATAATGTTCCCGTTCACTCACTCACCCACCTTAAGACCATACAAAATTTAACATCTGGGACGATCAACTCTGCCCTGAAAGCAGATGACAAGGGTGAGCAGTCATGGAGGAGTTCTCCTCAAGCAAAGAGGATCTGCCAGCTCGCCTCTGAGGTCCCGGCCCTGAAAGGCCAACTGTGGTATGTTTGAGTTTCCATGGGGCCTGGTGCTTGCTGGCTGCTGCTGCTGCGTTCACTCAGAACCCAACTGTGCTATAAACATCTAGCCCTTCTGCTGAGAGCTGCCCGCCTGGCCTTACTTCTGGGAGCCAAGAATATGCTATTTGGGAGCTGCAGGCTATACTGCAGCTAACACTTGGGGGGCTAACACTTGGGGCGCAGCTGACCCTTCTGTTCTCCAGGTCAGGGACGGCTCTAAAAGGAAAAAAAAAAAAAACACACGCTTACACGAACATAACAAGAGCAAGGAGAAAAGTCCAGATTTTCCTCACCGTGTGCCACCCAGCCATGTTTACACTGGTCGCAAGTCCTCAGGTTAATCTTCCCCGGCTGGAAACACTCACATGTGCAGTTCACCAGCGTGCAGCGGATGGCCTGAGAACGAGAGGAGGAAGAAAAGATCAGCGTCTGTTCAAAAGGGACCCTGCTTCTTCAGCATTTTATGAAATAAAACCGTCTTCCCATTTTTCACAGCGCTAGGGACCTGGAGAGTTTTAGAGAAAAATTTTGAAACCATCAAAAATCTCTTACCAAAACATATTAGAAAACAAAGCTGATTCATTAATAGAATGTTTCTTACCATTCATAGGTAAGCTTTAAATTGGAAACGTAGACTAAGTAGTATAAGAGTGAACCTTATTCTTTTTCTATCAGATGCTGGCTCTGTAATACCAGGGATCCAAAAAAGGAAAAAAAAAGATTGCTGCTACCCAATATTCACTGACAATAGTGCAAAAGATATAGACTCTCATACAATAACAAGTGAAATGTTGAAAATAAAACATGATTAACAAATAATATTAACAGAATATGACTTTTCTTCTGCAGTATTTCATTGAAATGCTTTATCAATCTCTCAGACACCTTTTGAAAGACACTCCTTTTGGCCCAATAACATCCATCATATTTCTGGCATCATTCATCACTTTCTAACTCCTTGATTTTTTTCCCTCCTTGAAATATTAATTCCATTTGCATTCCTATTTGAAAAATGCAAAACAACCCTCTCTTTATTTTAATGATGTAAGAAAATAAGTTCAAATTTGTTTTTAGATCAGATGTAGAATAGGAAAAGACATTTATGTGAATATTCGATATTTGGAACAATTCACCGATATCATAGAACGCTGGAAGACACACTCAAGAACGTTTTATTTCTTTACAACTACTTTAAAAAATCATCTCATCAGTTTACATTTTAAAGTGAATCTACAGGAAATGAACATTAATGAAGTGTAACTTTTTATAGATTAAAAACCTAGGCTGAAGAATTGTGCTAAAGCTGACCTATGCTCCAGGACTACAGTTAATAAATTGATCTCATACATTTAGTCCCAATTTGCATGGAAATTCTGAAGACAGAGGGATTTTGTCCAACCATTCACAGATTAACAATCTACTGTAACCTCCTGAACTGCCAGGAAAAGATCCCTCTACAGCTTTAGATGTAGTCAATAATTACCGATTTGGAGGTAGGCATGAGGCTACCTGAAACTGCAGTGCTGGGCCTGAAAGCTCTGCCCACTTACACAGCTTCAGACGCTCTTATTCCTGGAACCAGTTGGGTTTTTATATAAACTGCCTCATTTGTAACAGACAGTATTTTAGATATTGTTAACATGGTTGAGCCAAATTCCGTTTACAGAGAATAAGACTGAATGGGCTTTTACTGTTCCCCATGCTTTGGATCAAGCAAACTTAAAATATTTCTCTTTTGCTAATGAACATTAAATCTAGAGTTCCTTATTCGGTTTTCAGTGTTAGAGTCCCTGCCGTAGCCTTCTTTCTTGCTTCACCTCTAACCCTAGTTTGTTCCTCTATTACTGCAAGAAAAATAGGCAAGGGTATGAACTGCCTGATGTTTTAGAGTCTGTCTTCCAGTGTCAACAGTTCAATAACATATTAGGAATATTAGGAGGTTGTACAACTTTGCTGTATATATTAGTGAATAAAGGAAATAGTAATAAGACACAGGGAGAGCAAAGGAAATGCTGACATAGCAAGAATACTATATCTGGAGGTTAGAAGGGAAACTATTTCTCCCCTAATTTCTTATATCAACTTCAGTAGTTTAACTAACTGAGCAATGCATCAGAACATTCCAGGTTAGAAATAGCTTCTTTAAACAGCATGTTCATTAGGAAACTCAGTTTGATTGTACTACAGTAAAACAAACCCAAAAGTTTTTTAGAGGGCAGAAAAACAGGACACTCTCTAAACTATTCAGTTATAAATTCAGATACAGCAACCAGATTGACATTAAAATATTTATATAATCTGAGATACAATAAAAGAATCTTTCATAAACACTTAAAAATAATTAACTCTGCTTCACCAAAATAAAGAATGACCAAACCTAAGAATGACCGTCTCTCAAGAACTATATGTTAACTCTGGCACCAAAGACATACATCTTTTAAATTGTTAATTTGATAACATTTTATTATTTCACAAAAATAGCCTCATTTTACATTGTGTTTTAAAATACACTTTCCTCAATTTTAATTATAGTTATATTCAGGACAAAACAAATTAAGAGACTTGTAGATTTGCTTTATTTTAGGTATATTTGTTTATTTACTGGTTCAACTATTCATTCATTTACTCAGAACGAGTTTTTATGATTCAAATATTTTTCTCTTCCTAAATAACTCTAAATAACTTTGTATGTCTGGCACACTTGGGAATTAAAACTTTTTGTACCATCATCCTTTTTCATGAATTCTACTCCTTTTGTACCTAAACATACAAACATTGGAACACCTCAACTCCTTTTATATATAAACACTTAAGCACTGGAATATCCATTTTGTATTTCTATGAATTCCAGAAGGTCTATTTGTTTTAAATTCAGATTTATATAGACTACAATTGTGCCTTAAGGGAATTATATATATTTAAACAATATGGTCTAAATAAATATTTTGAATACAAGACTATTGTGGCTTCAAAGGAAGTTTTACTCTAAATAACATTTTTGAAACAGCATAAAAGTTTGACATACTATTTATTCAGAACAAAACAGAACCAATGTGATCACTTGCCAACTCACTCACACTTCAAAAACATAAATTATCATAAAACTATCCAAGCCAGTTAAGCCTCAAAACGTATACACTTTACGAGGAGAGAGCTGGGAACAGCAGAGATGGGGAAGCCTTCATTTTGGTGATCACACCCGTTTCTTTATGGAGCTAACAATACACCAGGTCTCCCACTCACTGCTGGGCACCCACAACTACAAAAAATCAGGGACGATAGTGAAGTGACAGAAAGGGAACAGCAGGAGAAGAGAGATGATCTGACCAGGCATCATAGATGCCTCATAGATCCAGGACCCTTTTGCAGGTCTGGGCAACTCAAGCCAGTGACCCCTCCTCACATCCAGGATCCCACCTCATCCAATGCCCTGAAACTCCTTCCTCCATTTCAATACGACCAGCTTTTCCAACAGCCCAAGAACAGGAGGAAAGTTCTTAAGCCTACATCTTAAATAAAAGGAATAATTTCTGCTTACCTTTACCATGGATATCTTGAAAGAAAAATCCATGCACCCACCACCCAGTGCTTGCACCTACATTTTAATTTTACAGTCTGGATTCTGCCACACACGGTCCTGAAACTGCTTTCTCCAAGAGGGATAGTCTCATCACATCTGGTCCCTTTTTCTAGTCCCCTCGTTCTCTGAGACCTCGAGGCAGCTTAAGGCATAACTCTCCTTCATTCCTGGACTGTAGAGACAAACTATCCCAGTGTTTTGGCAGCAGCTTCTCACTCTCTCTCCACTGTAAATAAATACAGGTGTTTCTCACGGGCAGGCTCCTCATTCTTTAACTTGGCAATTTCATCCCCTCCTACAGCTTCAAATATCATCACTACACAAAACCGATCTCTGCAGAGCCAAGTACTGTGTTAAGTGGCAGGAAATGGATAGTGAATCCCTGTGCTCAAGGATTTAACAGTCAGAGCGCTTGGGCAGTGGGTTCCGAGGAGACACCCTAAGAATAGAAGGAAGCCCCTGAAGAGCTTTGAGAAGCATCGTTTCTTCGTCTTTATGACTTTGTCTTTTCTTCCACCAAAGGTAGGACATAAAAATTTATCTACAATAGCAAACCATTAATGATTAATAATAATAATAATTATATTGTTTATATAATTACTGTAATATTATGATGAATATAATATATTCATAATAATATATAATAATATATAATAACATATTCAATATTAATATTTTTATTATTAATAGCAAAGGTTTTGTTGGATACTTGGCATTTCCAGATACTTACAAATATTAGCTCTCCATGAAAATACCATGAGGTCCGTACTAGTATTCCCGTTATTTCACAGAGGAGGAAACTGCGGTGGAGCTAACTCAGGATCCTGCCTGAAGTCACAGCAATCAGATCCAGGGGTGTGGGAGCCCTCCCTCCCACTCAGTCAGGCTGCCATGGGCAGAGCCCCGCCACCTGCCCACCATCCACCACCACTCTGTACTGTTAACTCCTGTGTCTCTTTCAAGCTTTCAACGCAAATATTACTTCCATTCTCCAGAGCAGCTGTTCTCATCTCCTGATCAAGGCAAGATCCCCATCAGTCCCCTGTTTCACAAGTGTCACAGCACTTATCACAGTTGTGAAGATTATATTTATCTATAATTTATCTATACTACTTATTCATAACCTAGTTGATATATACCAGTGGTAAACAAAACACCTGCCAATTTAGGAGACACGGGTTTGATCCCATGGTCAGGAAGATCCCCTGGAGAAGGAAATGGTAACCCGATCCAGTATTCTTGTCTGGGAAATGCCACGGACAGAGGAGCCTGGTGGGCTACAGTCCACGGGGTTGCAAAGAGTTGGACGCAACTGAGTGACTAAACATGCATGCATGTGTATATATATGTGTGTGTCTGTATCTGTGTGGTTATTTGATTAAGATATGTCTTCCCCTCTAGAATTTAAGCTCATTAATGGCAGGGTGACATATGTTGGGCTTACAATGTATACTGGCAAATAACAGGTGCTTAAAAGGCATTTAAAGAATTTCATCAATCTCTCAGCCTGTTTCCCATCTATAAGATGATAACAGTAACATCATAACTGTGTCAATAGATTCAAATGAAATAATTAATATAAAGCATGTGGCCCTTTGTCCAGTGATAACAAAAGCTCAAAAGATGGAAACCATTTATGACCTCAACAAACTTTCCACATATTACCTTTGAATTATTTTTCCCTTACGATTGTTCCCAATGTCTTTCTTCCACACCTTGTAAATGCTTAATACATATTTAGTCTTAATGAGTAAGTGAACACTTCGACATATATGAGGCCACATTCTTCATACTATAATCCTCTAAACTGGGCATG